ATAGTGCTTTTGCAGCTGTAGTCATTTAAGGATGCAAGCCAGATGAAGTTTTTAGGATTGATGTTATCTTTTATTGGGCCAATATTCATTTATATACCATTATTTCCACCAACACCATTTTTCCACAGAGAAGCTGATGCTAGTTTGGGATTAACAACTCAGTGCTTATCTTCAGTGTAAAAACAGAACTTTCCCTTGGGGTAAATCACACACCTTCTTTTGCTTTTTTTTTTTTTTTTTCCCCCAGAAGTTGAATGAAACTATCATAGATTATCATCTCGAAACACAAGTATTAGTTGAATGCAATGTAGATGCGCTCATACCTACCCTAAACTGTGAGACAGTGTCATGCTGTGGTGCAGTCCAGAGTCCAAGTGCCCTCCACTCTCCAGCCACCGACCTGGCAGGAGGTCCACCAGCTGCCTGAGAGTGCCATGACCTCAACTGGCTTTGTCACCGCAAAAATGCATGGGGCATAGGAAGACTCATGCCAAATCTCATTCTTAGCTAGACTCGGTGGGTGGCTGAGGCATGTTAACTCAGGAGCACAAGACTTCTTGATGCCATGTTGTAGAAAAATCTTCATTTTCTTTGTGTATGTTTTCAGACTGAGTCAAAGGATTATTGTTTTCCAACTAGATAAGCAAATGTTTATGTCAATGAATTATGCACAGAGAGGCACTTATGTACTATGGTAATGGAAGCCATAAAAGACCTAAAAACAGTTGCTTCTGTAATTAAATCATCCATCTCAGGATGATCAAGAAAAAACTGCAAATGGACACTTTTCAAAATGAAGAAAAGTTAAGTGGTAAATAAATGTTTACAAACCACAAAAGTTAAATGAGTTTTCCTTTAATAGACTGAATACCTTGCCCTTAAAAAACCCCTAAACCATGAAAGCTGAAGTTATTCACTTAGCACTCCTTTGACCTATTCTGGCTGATTTAGAATATGAAGTTTAGGGATTTAAAAACATTGTTGACCAGTTATCTCCCATTGTACGAAAGCCCACAAACAGATGAATGATAATTAGCCTTTTCATATTTGGACTGGTTGGTGCATTATTCACATGTGTATAAAATTTAACAAGTCTTTGTTGCTGTTCTTGTCCTTTTAGGAAGTCTTAAATGGCTTTTGTTAGTTCACTCGAGTACTCTCCTATTTGAAAATATCTTTTCCAATTATATAAGGCCACTTTGTTTCTATTCAATCACACCATTGTGCAGATTAGGGAATGCATTTGATTATATTGGTGAACCCTGCACAAGGGACTGCCTTCAACATCAACATTTAATCGATTTTATAGACACAAACAATGAAGCCCTTGGAAAGCAAATTCATACTGAAGTGGCTAAGTCTTTTCTGTACATCCCTCTAACTCCAGCATTCAATTCCAACTAAGAAAGATCATATTCTTCATGAAATATTTGTCTCCTCTCTTTTTTTTGGTGATTAGCTATAGAATACTATAAAGTGCCTGATGTACCACATTAAGAAGGATGCTAAGCGGTTTACAAGTCTCAGTAATTAATGACTATTTTTATCACAGAGAATATAGACTACTTTCTTATATCTATCTGAAACTCAATATAAGCCTCTATAAGCCTCCAGGCTGCATAATTGGTGCAATAGAGCTGAAAATGAGATGGAGGATATAATACAGCTCAAGTAATCCTGCCTTTAGCTGAAATGGAACAGTGGAGGCTCTGAGCATCCAGAAATGTTGTTTCCACTAAGATTTAAAGCCAGCCAGCTGTCGGCTGCTGCAGAGAAAATTGTAGTGTTATTTACTTTCTTTAGTATACCTCAAATATTTAAAGTAACACTACTGTATTTATGGGCATTTTTTAATCTCTAGCAATTTAAGCAATGTATACTTTCACATTTTTTTCTTGTTATGGGACAAACGAGTATATTCTTCATAAAAGTTTCAATTCAAGTACTCTGGAAATTACCTCAGGTTACAATATCCTAGAAATGAAGATATTGGTTTTACCTTCTCTACGCAGTAGCTGTAAGAAATAAAATCTCTTTTAAATCATAATGGGTTTATAAAGGGTTTAGAGAACAGGAGGGAACATTGAAAAGGTTTATGCAGTGGTGACATTTTAAGATTGAAAAAGAGTGCTTGTTATAGAGAGACCTGATGAAATCTGTCAGGTTGGGATTTACTGTTCAGCACATTTACCTCAGATGTTAAAAAAAAAAAAAAAAAAGTTAAAAAAAGTAAAATAAAAACCCCATCAATCTCACCTCTTTTTTTTACAGTTTGCTTTGCAGACAAGACTGGAACGGACTGATGATTATAATGACAAAATCATTAGTCTACTTCCTTTTATTTATTTATATCACTTATTAGTAAAAGGTACATATAGTATATTGTATCCCCTTTCTCTGTGAGAGCATTAGAAACAATCCCTAAATGAAGTGTTCTCACTGAAATACAGACATTCAGTTCAGTTTTCCTTGATTTCTCCCCACCCCCCTCCCCAGGGAAATTTTGGTTATTTTAAAATTGTAACAGATGAAGTATAGTCCATAACCTATGCTTTTGGTTAAGGATTATCTTTTTTTTTAATTGTATGCAAGGAGCCTAGTGGAGTAGAGCCCTGGGGCATCACTGTAAAACAATCATTAAATAACATTAAGCCTATGGCAAGGGAGAAGCAATCAGTATAATCATTGCACATCTTTCCTCCCAGATCCACCTTCAGCCTAAAGTCTAGTTCCTGGTCTGCTGGAAATGCCATCTTTTGATTGCAACAGAAAAATCCTGTTAATGTTTCTGCCATTGCCACAGTCCTACTGTGTTTGTCCTTGTGACAGATATATTACCATGTTCTGCTTCATCATCTGCATCACTGAAATAAGGACACTGACTTCCTGTCCCAGGGGTGTGCTGTGTGCTTTCATTAGTGATAGTCATGCATTTTGACACTGCTGGACTGAAAATGATGTGGTGCCACAGAACACTGTTACTACTGTTTAATAATGTTGAATGATACTTAGGAGCTTCTTTAGCTTCCTGACTCCTGCTCAGAAAGTGCAACCACCTCTCAGAACAGAGGACTGGTAGGCAATCACAATGCAGTGTGCTTCATTCAAATGGGCTATGTAAATTACTTCTCCTGACACTTTGGCCACAGTGAGCTGCCTTTGCTTCTAAGGGAACTACCTGCTTTCATGCTACAAACCATCCTTCATGATCACTTACACATTGAACTTTAGTACTTGGACAGCACTGTGGGACTGTGACCACAAACTGCTGGAAGGAGAAGCTGAAGAGCCAGTGGTACCTCGTCACTCACTGTCACCTCCGTGACCCAGACTCAACTGATAAAGAAATGGATTTCAGGCAACTGAGGCCCGGAGAAGAGAATAATTTACCCTACAAGAGAACATACACCTCTCTCGGTGTTTTTAACCCAAGCATGGATGGGTTAATAAAAACCACATTCATACCAGAGACCGTGAAATCCTATATTCTGCTGATTTTGCTCTAGGCAAAGCATCACGCAGACTGACAAGAACTTAGTTTCAAAACTGCAAAGATGGTGAGACATCCTGACCTTTGTGGATGGACAGAAGGGTTTTCCCTTGGTATCTGAACGTGCTTCCTCTCATGGCACAGCATTGACCTCAGAAGGAAACCTACACCCTGCATTCATCTCTTCTGTGTACTGTATCTTTTATATTATTTTGCCTTTATGGATTACACTGCCAATGAATCACTAGAGATTTTGCAAAGAGATAATGTAGAATGTTATGCTAAAAACTGGTTTATCACACTTACATTAAGTCAGTGTTATCAAATATGTTTTGGTATTCACTGTGGCACAGAGAAATGCTTCTCCTTTTTATGTTACATTTTTACAGTTTTCTCAGCATCAGATTTGAACTGCTGTGCCTGACTGGTTTCTTCAAACCCCAAGTGAACTAAGAATAGGGGAAACTTTGTTAAGCTGAAGACTGTGAACCTCACATTATTTTCTTTGGTTCACAAAGCCCATTTGACTGTATGAAGCATTTCCTCCAGGAATTTAAGACCACTCTTTCTGAGAGGCAACTCTACTTGTAAAAGACAGGCTTGTGAGCTAAAGAAAGTTTTGATGATGTTTCTGGCGCTATAGGTGACCAAGAGAACAGTCATTCAGGTGAAAGGAATGAAGTAGTGCCACAGAAAACCTTCAATTAAAAAAAAAAAAAAAAAAAAAAAAAAAAAAGAGGAAGCAGGACTGAACATTCTCTGTCTGACAGAAAAAAGGAGAGAGCTATCCTTACGAGAACCATGCTCTCTATTCATGTCTTGTAATAACTCATCAAAATTTTGAATTCATTATTAAAACCTCATCTAATTTCTTCTATGAGTATTTATATGTTTCAAATTTGCATATTTTAATACTTTCCTTATCTTTCCTCTACCATCATTTTCTCTGGACTTCTCACCAACGTTATCTTCTCAATATCACACAATTTATTTCTCCATTTCCTTCTCAATATTTTCCCTTTTTTTTCCTCACCATATTGACCTATATTTAAGAACAGATTCTTATTCTCAGAAGGCAAATCCAGCAGTGTACACATTAGAATTAAGTTTTCAAAATCAATCCACATGGGAAAGATGCAGAAAGCCCTTTAGCACTGTCATACTACTCTCCCTTCCCTGCTAAAAAATCTCGAGATGACAACATTCCTATCTGAATATATACAGAGAGCTACTGACTTTTAACTCGTCCTACACCTTTATGTGGAATGCTGAATAGCATACTGAGATTGCTCATTACACATGAAGTTTAACAAAATAGAATTCTGTTGCAGGAAAAAGGTCCTACTGGAAACATTTTTTAAAGTTTACTTTGTGGAATCAAGTTTTGCAGATAAATGCAGAGTTTCTAAACCTCAATAATATGTAATTGTGCACTAGCTTGTCCATTTGTTGATGTCATGAAAACATTAATGTTGGAAATTTTACCATCTGCCCACAAGGTAATGTGTACCTGCAATTTTTGAAGCAGATTGCTTGCAGACCTGCATCACTGAAGATGTATTTGACACATCAAGGTGGAGCTAGGGAGAAGGAAAAAAAAAAAAATAATGGAAAAGTGTTGTCTCCAATCAGGAAATAATTATGAGATGATAGTTACTATATATTCTGTAATATATCATTAAAACCACTGAATTGTTATCTGCCGAGTTAACGGGTGGATTAGATGCTATATGAACTGTACAAGTGTGGTAGTCCAGGCAGCATGTGAATAATCTGACTAGATCAGTGTGGGAAGCTGATCTAAGAGGCTTAAAAGGTGGGACGTTCACGGGAAAACAATGAACTTGTTTTTCCATAAGATTATCAGGCCTGGCTTGGTGCATTCAGTTTCCTGGAAACCCATAAACTTCCTCTGTCTTATTGAAGGACACCAAGGTCTCACACTGCATGCAGAAGCCTAGGAGAAACATTTACATCTCAACTAGTTTGATCTTGATATGTCCATAGTATAAAATCTGACCTGCAGGAATGGCAGTCTAGGTCTGCCTTCATGAACTGGCTATCTCCCGTTGCCACATGTGCTCTTCTGTGGCTGCAAAGGCAGGGGACTAACAGCTCTGCTGCCCCTCCCCAGGGGATCAGCAGTGCCACACATAGCAGGGGCGATGAAGAAACCGCTGGGGAGCTAACCTGCACCACAAAGAAAGCAAGCAACTTCTTGTACTTCAGTGAGCAGCCTCATAGGACAAGGAAAGGAAAAATGCTGAGACGCTTCTTCTGTTCCCCAGGTGAAAATTATTTACATATTTTTGCCAGCCTACCACTACATATATGTGTCTATATATATAAAAAAAAATGAAGAGGTATGGTGCACCTATGTGGGTGCATCCACACAGGAGAACGGACGCAAACATCGCTAGGCGCAGAAGAGCTGGGGGCCAGCTCTTCCACCGCAGCACTGCACTGTGCAGAAAAGGCCATTTGAACTCAGGTGCTGTCGTCACATCGGCAGGACAATGCAGCACTTGGGGCATCTCTGCAGACCACCATGTTGCTCTGGAAGGATATATGCAACAGCCAGGCCCAGCTCTGATCTGCCTCGGTGCATCATGCTGCAATGGAGACCTGTACTTACAGGCACCGAGATGCATTCTTTATTTTTGTGGTTTTGCTCAAGAAGAGCATTTCTGTATAGCCTGAACTGGATGCAGTAACTTCTGCTTTGGTGGCTGGGATTTCAAACAGAAGGGAACAGAGCCTTGATCAAGGGGAGGGAGGAAGCGGGAAGTGGGTAATGGAGTAATCCTCTTGCGAAAGAAAAAGGGCACTGACCTCTCGTCTGCTCTCCCAGTTGGCGCTGTAAGGAGGCTGGTCGCACTTAACGTGGCTGCCGAGCAACAGGCCTAGTTACCATCTGCACACTGACAGAAAAAAAAAGCAAGCCAAAAAAGTAAACAACCAGTGTTTATTTGTGTAATTAAAGGAGACTAAAATGCAATAGAAATATCTAATCTCCAGGAGAAATCCCGTAACCAATTTCCAACATGATTAAACTTGCATTGTTGCAAAATGAAACAATCTAATCAACAGTCTGTGTTATAATTATGTCTACCTGATCTCAAAATATTTCTGAGCTTGTTTATATCCCCAGGCCTTTTTATCTTGACATATTGTAAATTCATTTCTAAAATGAATCAAGTAATGTGTTTTTCTTTCCGTGGCAGGTACAGCACTGTGAGCATAGGGAGGTTCAGAGACCACTGCTATGAAATGATGATTGAAAATCTCAGGCAAGTGGGGGGAGCAGTGGAGAGGGAAATGAAAGTGCTCAAGGGGAAGAAACATACCTACTGCTGGAAACGGAAGGAAAATACACTGTATACAAATGAGGGTATAGCAGACTAACAGGGTGAGAAACAGTGCAGGAAAAGAAGGGAGAGCAGAGATGTGAAGCCAGGTCAGAGGCACCTACAAACAAGTAGGGTGGAGGTAGTGGAGAGAATTCAAGGCTGTCTTTAATTAACATCAATTAAGTTTCAAAAATTCATATTTCTATCTCTTTCTCACACTGTACTATTTTATTCATTTAAGCATTTCCTCAGACCTGATCTTTGCTCTTATAACCATAGAAGTTCGAACAGTTAATGACTGTTGGTTGAGAGGGTGATGGATTAGAGGTGATATATGAACATAGCTGAATAGTTAATATTGTAAAAAACATGTATTAAGTTACCTCCAAAAGACAGCAAAGGATAGGGGCTTTGGAGACTGGAAAAACTGTGTCTTCCTATTTTGCAGTGCAGCAAAGTGCACTACAAGGTTTTGATCATGATACTGGCTTCTGGATGCTACTGCAACATATAGAATTAACAAGCATGACATGGCAATGGGAAAAGATAACATGCTTTACATTTGAAAGACTAGAGTTTGGAGCCTTAATACTTTTACCAGCAGACTAATCACACAAATGATGAAGAGGGAAGAAGAAATGCAAACTTTCAAGGTTATATTTTCCATTATAAAGTCTTATAAAACCCAAACTACTTAAAAAAAAAAAAACATTTCCCCACACGCACAGACATTTTAATTCCAAGGTTATGATTTAAATCAAGCTTGCTTCCTGGAGTGCTGGAAATCAAAAGGACTTCTAGCACACAGGCAGAGTCCCAATTAGAAAACCTCCAGACAAAACACTGCACACTGCTGCTCCTCATTTCTCTAATAATAGGGACTTACCTCAGGTAAGAAAATGGATAGTTACTTTTAGTCAGTATGACAACAGCAAGACCATTTGGACAGGGGAAAAGGCAGAGGAGATACCTTTCAGCTGATGAATAAGCAATTTTCTGCACTTCTAGTGAAGGCAAATATTATTACATTTTTTTTTTAACATTCATAAACACTTTATAGCTTCATCGTGAAACACTAGCTCCCCTGGCTTCTTGTTTCTGTGGGTACCCAGAAGTAGATACCATATGAGAAGATACAAAAATTCCGTGTTTAACATGAAAGATTTTCACTCTTCATCTTTTTAGTTTCAGATCCCAGAGATTTAATGTTTTTCTCACAGTTAGTCAGCATAAATTATAACAACTCTTTATTACTGAGATCAGTATCTGAGGGGGTGGTCTGTCCTTACTGAGAAGCAGCAGGGTTCGGAAATTTTGCCAGGCTTCCTCTGAAGCACATCTAGTGGCCCTTCAGTACAAGTAGGTATTCAAAGAGGCAGCAGCTGGAAAACTGAAGAGAGGAAAAAATATTATTTTGATAATGACCTCTATAACAGGATTAAAACAAAAAAACAAAACAAAACAAAACAAACAAACAAACAAACAAACAAAAGAAAAAAAAAAAAAAAAGAAGGCAAACCAACAACATGTCTATCAGCTGTCAACCAGGAAATCTAATGGATGCAGCTTCAGAGCCAGAAGAGAGGAAGAGCCTGGCTCAAACTTCCACATTTACTTTGCAAAAGCCAGAAGCATGCAGTGAGATTAAAACAGTTTTTCTGCGTGGACTAATTGGCTTTGTTGAGAACCCACTGTGTGACACACACATCCCACAGGAGATTTTCTCAAAGTCTAAAGGGCCTCGGGTGCCTGATCCACAGCCAAAAGCAGCAAGGGGCTTGGAGAACAATTCATTAAAGGGGAATGCCAGCAGGGATCAGACTAAGATGCTCTCCTCAGCAGTTAAGAGGAAGAAGGAAAATGAGAATAAAACAAACAATGGAATGAAAAAATTGTCTGCGTTAAAAAATAAACAAACCACAGTTTTAGAACAAGGCTAGCAATTCCCAGAAGCACTTACACAACCTAAATGGCTTTTGTTCAAGTATACCAGTGCCAATAATACAACACAGAGACACTCAGACTACCTTTATACCAGGGCAGGCCTGATTACAGGTAAAAGCCTAACCGTGGCTGCACAGAGCTCAGCATCTTTTTTTTTTTCCTCACCTCTTCTCTGACTGCATTGTATATATTACTTGAAATACTCAATTCTCATTTATTTGTGTACTCCACCTTTAAGAAGCTTTCTGAGCTTATGAGGCTTTTCTGTTTCTCCAAATGGAAAGAAATGGGATGATTATAAACTTCCAGTTATGAAAAAAGTTGGTGTTGTTGCTGATGATTTATATGTTGTTTGATCTTTTATAGGTCATCTTAAAAGTTAACATTTAAATTATTTCAGAAATTCTGACTCTTAAATTGGCTGTTTCAATAATGTTATTGCTGCTGACTCCCTTGAGTGCTTGTGCTCTTAGTTTCCTAATTTTAATTATTAATCCACCACTGCATGTTGTGTTTCTCTGTAGCAACAGAAAGGTTAATATTCATAACCAGTTTTTAGGTTATTTTTAAAGGTAGGTGAGGAACAGTGCAGGGGAAGACGGAGGAGGGAATCAAGTTTTAATTACTTATTAATATCACTATCTAGGTTGCAGAGCTGATTGCTGCTCTGCTCCTTCCAGTGCAGATCCAGACGTGCAGTTCCACCAGAGGCTGAGCACTGCTCCCTGCTTCTCCAAAATTACCTCTGTGCCAGCTGCTTTCGGGAGCCTGTGACCAGCAGTTTTTGTAATACTGGTCTGCTGAAGTAATAAATGAAGCAAGCTATTAGAGAATCATCCATAAAAAGGAAAGCTTGTACACATATGTAATCTTATCTAATGTTATGCTTCATTACAATGCAAATAAGGCAGACTGGCTTCTTTCCTCCGTTAGGAAGGACCAAATCCAACTTTTACTCTCAGAAAACCATGGAGCGGGCTGGAGAGCCAAGCTTCCCTCTGCTTTATTCCTTAGTGTCTCTCAGACTGATTTTTCTCCTGAGGGAAATCTAGACTTAAACAACCACCACAATTTCTTCCTTGCTGCCTATTTTCAACTCTCCATAAAGTACTAAAGCTGATTTTTTAAAATTTCTTTTTTTTTTTTTCTTCTATAATGACACACTGAGAAATATTTCTTTATCTCAGCTACAATTTCCATCGTAGACTCTATTATGCATTTGTTGTCAGAATGTAATATTTAGTCTTTTCTCAATAGCAGGCATATTCAACTACAACATTTATAGTGAAGTCAAAGTGAGAAAGAAAAGAGGAAACAGAGAACAACCTTTCACTAGCAATCTTTCCTCCAGTTTTTAATTCAGGAAAAGGTAAAAGCAGTTCACGATTAGTCATATTTACAACTTGAATCAAAGCTCACAATTGCTCGAGACAAATCTCTGCACATCCCTGCACAATCTGTCTGTTCAAATGGCAAGGTTACTGCTGGGACTTCTCGCTTCTATTCTACTCTGAAAGTAAAGATGTAAAAGATGTAAATGGATCAAACTTGTACATTCCTGTCTTTTAAACATACTAAAGAAATTCAGAAACACACATTTTTGTGTCATTTTAAATCCTCAGACCATTCAGAACAAGACCAGAGACCACAGACCACCTGCTTCCACTTCCCATCCTGTCTCCTCCTCGTGCCTTCAGAAACGCACCAACAGGAGCTAAGGGATATAAAGTCAAGTCTTGCCTAGGAAGCTGAAATGTGAATACTGTAATCTAAAAGGTATCCCAGCAGATATTTGTGGAAGACAGAGTAGAATACATACTATGATATTATTTTTTTTCATCATACCCAAAATTTCAGGATCCATCTTTGTACTAAAAGAGCCCTGGGTCAGAAGCGTTACTCAATTCAAATTCAAAATTTAATGCTTACTTTGCACTCCTGCTGTATTCAATCATGCAAAATGCATTCTAAACTCTTTTAAAGTGATACGACTCTGGTTCTGCCACATAAATTAAATGTCCATTGCAGTCATGACAAGAACACCACTTGTTAAATTGATGAAAAAGAAAACTGAGGATTATAGATCTTTTTAGTGGAGTAAAAAAAAGAAAAAAAATCTGAGAAGTTTTTTTTATTATCTTGTAGGATTACTACAGAATTTCTTTCTACAGAATGAACCTCATGAACATTATTACTACTACTCATTCTATTTTATTTTATTTTTTCAAGCAGAAATTTCTTTGCTTTCAAAATTTATAAAGCTTTGTTTCACTACCTGTTAAGTTACAGGCAGGCCCTAGGAACAAAATTCATTCCTGTTCACTTTGTTCCTCATATTTTAGATAGTTTCAATCATCTATATTCAAAGGAAGATATTTACCTATGGTTTTGATTCATTTACTTTTCTTTACTGTAAAGATGATGCAAATATCTATTATGCAGCACCATTTGAAAAGTATTTTTTTATGTTATACTTCAAAAAGATTAAGTGAAAGAAAACTGAATGTCTTGCTATATACACACAAGACAAAAATTCTAACCTGTAAACTGCAAGTCCATTTTAAATTGTTTTTTCAGATTAGAAAAATGATGAAACTAGCCTCAGCCTATTCCCTGTCACCAGTCAAAATGTGCACACCTGACCATAGATTCATGCAGAAAGTTGAGTTTTAACTAGGATTACGTACAGTTAAGACAAAATACTTACAGACATACTGTTGTGATGTTTCTCTGAAGACGTCAGTGTTATTTCTGCTCAGCCAAAGACCTCTAGATGGCACACTTTAGTAAACTTTTATGATTATGCACATTTTGGCCTCAGTCCAGTTTACAGTGTTTTCACCAATGTTTTTGAACTAATCTACTGTAATGACTGTCAGTTTAATGAGTTATTAAAGGATATTCATGCTTTTGTAGTGCAAAGTGTAGAGAAAATAAAATAAATAACATTTCATTTATTATAGAATTTCCTAGAATAAAATATATTTCTCTGTCTGAACATCATTGCAAGCTCTAGGGAAAATAAAACCAACAGTATTTTCAAGCAATAAAATATTTTCTGGAACAGGACACATGCCTGCAAAAATTATAGTAACCTATCTTCCTCCTGAAATCAGTAAGGTCTTTATAAATAAGAACTTAACTAAGTTTGAATAGTTTATCCAGTAGGGATCTCTGAATGGTTTTACAAGCAGAACATGTCGTAAACAAAATGGAAACTTGTTGCTAGGATCCCTGCTTAGCATTACATCATAATGCTGCACTGATGTGTAGTAGACCCCCAAATGTCAGTATCATTAGATCAGCGAAGACAAATTCCTGTATAACACAGTCTCACTGTTATATGCAGCCCAATAACTGGCATTTGGCTATAATGTGCCTTTCAATAACATTCACATTGCAGAATTAGATCCTAGCATTAAGGGAATCTGTCTGGAAAAAGTTAAGGAAAAAATATGCAGACTGTCACTGCCATCAAACAAGGTGATAAACATAGAATCATAGAATATCTCCAACTATATGTATGTAAA